GCTCGTCAGTAGTATTCAGAACGCAATATCATATACAAGTAAGAAGGGTTTCTCTGTATCATAATGTGTAACAGCACTACAGAATTTCAAAACGGGCTAAATCGTCTTTGATCTGTGTTGGATATGTACATGGACATGACGTTTATTGACAAAATCAGAGGGCTGAACTAGTAACACTGATCAGTAATGGGCCTATATTTTGTGGTTTATCGTGTCTATAATGATACACGGTAAATATGTAATGAGGCTAGATTACTGATCTTTTTCCTCCAAAACTGTTCACCTCGACACCTCATGTTTTAATACCCCTGAATAGATAAACCAAAACGTTCTTATATTTTCAGGATTTTTCAAATGAGGATCATCCTGCATGACGTCATACAGGACTACAGTAGATAACGTGCTATCAAGAATCCACGTAAACAGAGGTTAGCCTACTAGTTATATGGGTAAAACTCTATTGGCTGGGAATGTCATTTAATAGTGCAATACAAAAGTGACACGCAAGACATTGTGGATTCGTACTGTTGTACATGTACAATGCACTGTATATTTCTACAGAAAATGGTTTTACGCCAAGTCGCGAGACTTGTATCTCATCGCAGCAATGTGATTTATTTCAGGATTATCGCAGCCTGTTAACTAATATCTGAGCAAATAGTGCAAAATATAATAAGGGAAGTGTTTATACGGGGTATGGGTCAGAATAAATTGGAAAAATCAGAAACAAAACATTGCACATGGTCTGTTCCTTTGAACTTGTAAACTGAAAAGATGACACTTACACTTGCCATTCACTTGCCATACGTATTATCATCTGATTAAGGAAGACGCCTTAGTAATGTTATAATTAATTAGTTAATTAGATTGAAAACAAGACAAGGTTATGAGTAGGTGTGAAATACCCCAATAACATGAAAATAGCACACCTTGCGTTTTTCTTTTCCGAAGGGTATCAACTAAACCTGAGATATTTGACATTTAGCAAGGTGGGCTTCATCGAAGGTTAAAGATCCATAATTGCACTCAGTGTTTGGTGCACCTCACACTGGAAATATGATTTGATCCTTATTTCATTTTAACGATCGTTTGATGTATTCAAAGCTGACAGCATCCCGGACAACCGTCCATGTCAAAGTTTATTTTTTGACTTTTTTTGTCATACTTAAATGGATAATAGCTCTTCGCGTGAGATCCATATTTCACAGTAAATACCCTATAAACAACTCATAGAAATATATTAAATTCTATTTTATCACCAAAACGGTGGTTATTTTGGAAGCTGTGCTTGCCATCGGACCACGTGACCTCCATAGATGGCTACCCATGTAATAATCTATGAAGAGACTATTAAAAAAAAACAGGGTTTAAATTTGAATGTCGGAACGGATTCATTAACCGTTGGTAACTAAGTATTGGAAAATTGTCGTTTACCCTAGGAAAATCCATTTTTGGCCAAAATTAACAGTTGGCATCCTTTTAACAAACACAAATATTGCAGTCTTGTCCTAACAACTGCAAAGAGCTAGCAACAGGTTGACATACTGATATTTGCGAAACGCCATCTATTTATTTTTTAAATTTAGGATTCTTCAGGTAAGGTTCATCATTAACCTTACAGACTTCATTGTTCAACCGTAACTTTATCTTGCGATCATGACTAGGGTTAAAAACAGACAGAAAAGTTATTTGGATCCTTCATTTAGGCACATGTCAGCGGCAATCAAAGAGGCAATGGACTGTCCTTTCTAAAGGTAACAAGTCCACAATTTTGCAATCATATATATATATATATATATATATATATATATATATATATATATATACTTTACTACTCAATGTGCCTATTCTAAAATCCTTTTTATTTATTTATTTATTTATTTTCATCTTTATTGAGGACCAACGGCTTTGTCGACAAAGAACCATCTACTAGTATATTCTGCACATAAACGAACGTGTCTCATGAAGCGTTTACGGTGCCCTGGGTAAGGTGCCTCGACGCTGCCAATGATCGATGACCATTAAGCTGTATAAATACTCCTCACTTAAAGGATGGGAGATATGAGAAGGTCATTAATTCACGCCCTGTGTATCAAAGAACCAACGAAGAAGCTGAATAACGTTCAATTTTAAATGAGACAAAATCCTATTCAGAATTAGGAACCACTTTTCATGTGACAAAAGCCATTGGCATTTTATAAAACTGTTTTGCGTCCGACACACACGTTCACAAACAAAGGTACGGTTGTTTTTTTTTTCACATCTAATAGCATCTTCACAGTTGGTAATATCATCATAGCTTCTCTATGCTAAATCCTGCTTTCTTTTTACGGGTCATAATGCCATTAATGATTGCAGTAATGGACCATATCGCACACAGGGAGAACGTTAAGTACAGTATGCTGCACTTAAAAGATTCAAATTATATCACCTTCTTTAGGACGAATGCGGTCCGGACACCAATTTCGATTGTAGACATTAGTTAAAATTGCTCAAGCCATTAAGCCAGTGAATATGATAGAACTTTGTTTTGTTGTGATTTCTTCGAATATGCTACACTTAAATGAAGCAAAAGTATCACCTTCCTTTGGACAGACAGAGCCAAAACATCGGCTTTAATTATTGACATTAATTAGAATCGTTAAGACATTGGGAATAACTGCACTTAATGATCTGTTGTAATATCGTCAAATGGTGTTTTTTCTCTCAAAGCCATATACTGAAACGTAAAATGCAGTTATCGTGTCCACGTTGTCTTCCTTCCTTTGAAGTCCCAGCTACACAAACAATAAAGTCTCTTAAATGTTTCTCAAACCATTTCCCGCAAGTTGTTTTCATAATTATAGTTACTCAAATGAAAAGGCATTCATTAATGTGCTATTATTTTAACAAGCGGCACGCAATTTCTGTTCTTAATAAGAGAGATATAGTTCATTTTCCAAGTTATTATCTTTGACCGCGATTCCATACACAGTCTCTAGCAAGGGTTACGCCATTACTCATACATGTAGCTGTATCTTTTCATTGGACTGTGTGAGGATTCAGACGTGCACACGGTGCTTTCGCGAAAGATAACACAAGCTGTTTGAGACAGTGGTGTGTGGCCTTTTGAGCTGTCTGGGTCCTGCTTTTCTAATCAAAGCAGCAGTGCTGTTGAGTTTGTCAGGTAAAAGCCTGCGTCAGTAAAAAAAGGTCAAGTCACCTCTGAGGTTTTGCCAGAAACCGAGTAGTCTGCCAACACATATCTCTTTCAACGGCCGTCCTCGGCAGTTTTTTCAAAGGTCAAGACGAGGGTATTTAATAAATTTAATGTATCGCTGCCACTGCCTTTCCTCTTGCAGTTTTATTAAAGAGATTAGAAACGAATGTGACATTGACAATAATATTATGGCACATGCGGCAAACGTAGTGGTGCACACGCACTACTACAAGCATACACCCTGTTATAACGCATCAATATACCAGAAAACCTGAAACATGATTTTCATGGCCACCAATGAATGTGTTAAGTAATTCCATATGGTTTACCTTGGCTAGAACCATGTTTTTACGACGTGCTTTTTCTAGCCTTCTACTCTTGCCAGCTTTAGTTTTAAAAAGACGTTACTACTCCAAAATCGCCGGGCATTGCTTAATATAGCCAAGGGCATGGTTTTTCTATTCCGAGGGGGCAAATATTTCCAACAAATGGGATAACAAAATAACCATACGGTCTTCGTGTCGGTGAAGTATATGTAATGTACCATCTTTTGTTTTACTCTCAGTTTTTTTAACGATCGCTAATGTATATAGAACAAAAACTTCATGGTGAAACTTCTAAATTGTTTGTATCATATGTGATGACATCGTGTATAGCCTATTCAAGACTGAACCCATTTCTGTTGGTTACCTGGCAATATAGGCTCAAGGGTTTGAATCACACGTACTAATGTCACACCAATGTCATATCTGAGGCCTATAGGCTATTAAAGACTGGGCCCATCTCTGTCGGTTATACCTGGCTGTAACGACTATAGACTCTAAAGGCTAAAGGTTATGTATAATATGTCATGGCATAGTGTATTCAAGACTGGACCCATCTATGTTGGTTACAGTGCCTGCTTTTGGTTTAAAAACAAAGAGCTCATTCAGACGCCTCCACACGCGCCATTGAACAGATTGAATCACTGATGTTTAATTGCTAGACCCCTGCAAGGACGGGGCGTGTGGAGGCGGGGAGACCATCAGCGGATTAGTCGGCTCTTCTTTCATGTAGGGTCCGCCATATTTAATCCGTGGATCAGAAATCCTCGGATCTTCTACTCTGAATGGGCTCAAAGTTAACACCCAAAAGTTGAGTGGAACAATACACAGCTGGTGGGACGTCAGATGTTATGCGGGAGATACTGTATACTTAATCGCACAGCTATTCCCGGCTAAATGATTTAATTACTTAGTTCTTAGCATAGCCAAGTTACGATGAGGTTTTTATCCGATTGCTAGACAGACTATATCTACTTAACCAAGATTTTGGCTTCTTGTGTATTTAAATTGGGTTTCTTTTTGTTTACTTTACTCCTGGAATTCTAAACCAGTTCCACCAGTAGGCCAAATTAAATTAAGGTGTAACATGAGCTGTGCATCATTATTTCTTGCTCTCAGTCACTATAATGTTTCTTCTGTCGAGTAAAAAAAAGTGACGGAAATTTATGAAGAATAGGACAGAATATCTGGCTACTGTAAATTTTACCCGTCGACCATAACTATCATTTCGACGTTTTCGGGGCCGCGTCTGCAGACGTTTGTGAAATCCTCTTTTCTATAATGAGAGAAGTATTCTTTCGTATTATTTGTCATAACAGATCTATAAATGAACATTTAATGAACATTTTAGCCCTTTCTATGAGTAAATGTAGCACTTCCAATGACAAGTAGCCCAACAGTATTTCTGACTCCGAAGAAACAAAATGAGTTCGACGCTGTTCCACACCAAATCTACACCTTTATTTTCCCCAATCTTCTGCTAAATTCTATCCCTGGCCATGCCTGGCGTATTCCCAGGTGGACTATTTATCTCGTGTCTGCAGGAGCCAAAAGAGTATACTCTCACACACAGGAGCTCAAAAGTCATTTTGAATCATCTTGAGGAATTGGAAAATAAAGAAGCATCATGCAGCGAATTAAACTATTCCTTTTCAACCCAGATCCAATATATTGATTTGGGTCTTATTTAGTTTTAAGGAAAGGTGACACGAAATCATATTTCCTAGAAAAAGGTTTGAAAACATTTCAATCGAGTTATTTGAATTTCCAATAGTTATGGACAAATGGCAACGTCATCAAGAGTCTTGCTTATAGTGATGATTAATGTTATTTTTCTCCGTTTTGCGTTTCACCCTACAAACACAAAATGAAGACCATTGACCTCCTACATGTATGACCATAAACCATCCATATGGGATTGACTAATATTGAAAATGCGTTACTCCTGTAAAATGCCACATTATTTAATCAATCAATAACCTTCTTTACTACAAACCAGTACTGGAACACGTGCATGTTCACGTCATTCCCAAACGTTTACAGTTGAAGGGCAAACACTGTAATTGATAAGAAGCTATAAAAGATGTAAAACTACCCAACCCCCCACACATCCCCACACACGCACCCAATTATCAATCAATAATAAAACTACGAATATTCAAGCGTACTTTCAAGTGTTCCAACATATGAAAAACACATTCCGTCCCTTGATCCTTTTTCCTTATCAAAAGGATGATACGTTTTATCCTGAATATACAAACATTCAGCTTTTATTAAATGGGGTTATCTGCAAAAATACATTTTGCTTTTTAAACAAACTTCAAAGGTGCTACTGGGCATGGCCAAGTTTTTCACTCCTGACATACATCTTTGTAATCAAACAGAAAATCAACAAATAAGCCGTCTTTACCCAGCTACCTAAACACTTCAGTTATTTTCAAACTATTTGAAGTTTACAGTATATGATAACAGAGACATTAACTTTAAAACTATCAGCAAAAATACAAAAACGGCAAGTAGTAGCTGTAGTCATGCATATACATGTGGTCTAAAGATGAATTCTAACAAGTCATTTTGTCTTTGTAATTCGATAGGGTGATGTAGACAACTTGAAATATGTTAAAATACTAGGCAAATTCATCATCAAGTCCATTAGCCAATAAAGATTCCCATAAAGAATCTGCATAATGCTAATGCATAGAAATCTGACAGTTAAACCAGACCAAAACCCCTGTATATGTCTTTAATACAGTCATCATAAATGTGATTGTAAATTTAAATTTTCCTTGAAAGAACCGACCATGTGAGGACTGCTCTGAATCATTTGATCTAGATGCTATGCTAGTTCTCAAGCTGGTTCAGATAAGGGGGTAACAAAAATCTGCTTTTTCAGGAAAAATACCCAGGCCTAGACATATTAGCACAATTTGCCATTCTGAAAGACAAGACAAAAAAGTGTCAATTTTTTCAACAAATTAGCTTCTTCTTGTCCAAGCTAAATCCTTTACATCAGCTCCAAAGTGACCCTGATCACCTTTGAGCGTACTCAGAACAGATGATCCGCAGACTAACTGATCCGACAACTAAATATGACTTAAATAGTGATGCTGCTAATTCCCTGATGGTCTTCCCTCCTCTACAAGCACCATTAAATGGATTTGCAAATATTCACATTACAATGGGTGTGGAGGCGGGGATTAGCAGACCATTAGGGGATTAGCACATCACTTTTTAAGTGGGGTTGGTCATATTTAGTCGGTGGATCAGTTAGTCCTCGGGACATCTGTTCTGAATGCGTTCTTTGGCTCCACTCCCAAGTGTAAAGTGGCTCTATTCAGTAATTGCATGCTAGGATTACCTGTCAGTATCAGACATTAATTGCATTCTGCTGAAATGTCTCCTCAGCTGCAATCTGTTCACTTTATGACACTGAACATAACAACATTATTTTTATGTCACATAAATACTGGCTTGTGTTGTTGACAGATGCAAGGATGGACCACTTAAATACTCCTATTCACTCTTCTCTATGCTGTTTAAATGAGCTCAATCCACGCAATTTTGCTTGGATTTTACAAGAAGCCTTTGGACAGTCTCAGTCTCCTCTACTGCTTGACTGTACATAATTTCCATCAGATTTGGTGCTGATCCAATATCCTATGGATCTACAATCATCCTGGTTTTGTCTTTTTGAGGATTAACATATGTATTGTATGGTTGCCAGGCAATCCAGACTGGCCGATATCTGGGCTGTCAGCTTCAAAGGTACCCAGTGGAATGTGGGTGCACTCAAGCTGCCATCTTTGTAACAAGTGCTCAATGGAGCGATCAGCACTGCAAAACAAAGATGTTTTAGTTAAAAAACTGATCCCTTCGAAATGATTCCATGTTAAACCAGTTAAAGAATTGTTTAAATGCCACAAAATAATTTTTGTGTTTCAATGCACATGCATAAATAAATAACTTAATAATATACAGTTTTATCCACTTAATTTGATACAATCTACTGATCTGATATCCTAGTACCTCCTTTCTTGATAGGTGCACCATATTTCGGCTTCAGGATTTCTTTCCATAAGGAATGACATTGTCACAATAACATCTTCAAAATCTATTATATAAAATGCCAAACATTAATTAAAGAAGCAAAGGGGCAATTTCTTTAAAAACAAAATAAATGTATTCTATGACTGATAGCCATTAATAAATATGCAAAGCCTTTTCATTATCTGCAAAAATAAAATAACAAATAAATATAATGGCAAATGATGGTAATAAATGCCATACCATAGCAGAGAAAATCTCCAGTCATGAAAAGTTTTTCCACTGTAGTGATGAAGGAAATGGTGCTATGAAATGACAAAATGAGTAAGATATGAAGAGTTTTGATTCATACATAAACATATGCTTTACAGTGATACTGCACCATATAACTCCATAACCAGGAATCATCAGAGGAACCTAGTGTATACTAGTACTTAAGTGTATATTTATATACACTCAGATAAATAAATCTTTCAGCACTTACCTTTGGTATCATAAAAGCAGTCTGAAGCTAGAACAATATCCACCTGCTTGAGCTGCAGCAAACTTGGACTGAACTGTCCCCAGGTAATTCCCACAATATGGACATTTTTAGCACCATTAGCATCCCTGCTCTTGGCACAGTTTTCTAAACAATTGGAAAATTCACTGTTGTCACTGAGAGTGACATCTGCTGCTCCACACAGTGCTGCCACTAGTCCAGGTAGTGCAGTCCCTGCACCTAACTGTAATGTTATAGTGGGTGTGATATAACAAGTAAAATGTAGATCTATGCTGCACATATATTTATTCTTGGTATACAGAATAATTTCTTCCTTACATGACAGCTGACTTCAAAATGCACATGTACTAGACAGGCGTACAATCCAGTGGCCTACATTCACAATATGCAGTAAATAAATAATCAAATTTTACAAATATGATTACAAAATAAATACCTCAAGTACAGACTTATTTTTCACCTTGCTTCTGTGAAACCATATATATTGTGCAAGTACTGGAGAACAGGGCCATACATACATGCCATAACTAGGATCTAAGACCTGAGGAGAAATATACCACAAACATCAAACAGAATTTTTAAATCCTAAAATTTTAAAAGTTCATCAGTGCCCTGAAATATTACTGATCAAAAACTGACGGAAAATTAAAAAATAATTGCATTAACTGTTATTCATTTACAGGCTAAAAAAGAATATATTCTTTGTATGATTCTGATACATGTATGAGCCGGTATATCTCTAGCTAGGCTTGCATGTGCAGGAGTGTACAAAGATGAACCACAGTAATAATGCAAGTCTGTTGCAGTGTAAAGAATCAAGCATTCAGCACACGGCGGAGCACAGAATTCCATGCGTTACTACTTCTATTAATGGCCTCTGATAGGTTCTATATTTACAAATATAATACATATCAAAGACCGTAAACGGGAGTGCTAACACATGATGTACATGTACATGTACAGTACATGTACCAGCAGATATTGTTTTACGTAAATAACTCCTTAGCAGCCCCAAATATTTGTTTACTTGAAGTAATAAACAATGAAAACATCAGTGACAAAGCTATTATTGATATACCTGCGGGATTTTAACGCTTAGCTGTTCTCTAGTGCGGATGTCTTGGAAGTGAAAAAGTTTCTCTTGTGCAAACTGCTCAACGCACATGTCAGCCATCGTTGATAAACACACTCAGCTGAGTCGCTTAGTGCAAATCAAAATATTTACAATTTTGTCATTCATTAAGTATTGCATCATATAATATGGTTATCAATTCAATTTTGGTCATAACTGTTCAATAATTTGACATATATAATCGTTAATTTGTGGAAAAATCCAAATAAAATACAGCCACGCGAAACGACCTTCACCTTGTGGCTTAATAACAATAATGGCGGAGGAAGTTCGGCTGGGCAGAACGTCAGCAAGAAATGCAAAGAAATATGAAGAAAAGAAGAGAATCCGGGTTAAGGAGGAATTGCAAGCAAGGGCCAAACAAGTAAGTGTGTAATTAGATACATAATGGTGCTTTCATTTCCTCAACAGCAAGAAAAATACTGATCAAAATATTGATTGCTGAAGAAAGTTACAGTATATTAGATAAATCCAGTTCGTCTTTCCCCGAATAAAAAAAATATAATATATCTCAGTTAAATGGATGTAAGTATCTTACTGGGTAAGTAATTCCCGTTTCCCACTTCAAAAACTGGGAATGACTCCAAAGGTTATTGCAAATATGACTCGATACTAAAGACGGACCAAAATGGCCACCGTTAATCTGACCGGGGTCCGCCATATAGATAAACGTCCCAATAAAACATTCGTCCCGATAGATACGTCTCTATACATACACGTCTCAATAGATTTACGTCTCGTTAAATTTACGTTCCGATAGATCCACCAACAGATTCCTATAAACCCACGTATCTTTAGATCCAGGTACCGCTAGATCCATCTATCTGACATCCTAATCGGCTAAAAGGCCGATATCAACTTGTGATACAGGTATGAGGCTTTCGAGTGATAGTCTGGCTGCGAATACTGATCCACTTAGTGATCTGACTTAATTACAACCTGATATTTATCATTCATTCATTTTTTTATGTATTTATATATTTATTAGGTGTTCAAACAAGACATACATGTACTGAGTACGTTCGCGTCTACACGTCTATCACACTCTAAAGTTCGGGAACGTGTCGTAAACATGAAACAGAACACATTTTAAGTGTGCAAATGTTACATTTTGAGAACGCTTTAAACAGTGTTCTGGCGCCAGAACACTGAGCGTTGTGAAATATAGAACACATTTTTTTTTTGTTTTGTTTTGTTTAGAACACATTTACATGTAAATTCAGAACACTTTACGTGTTCGAATGTTACATTTTGAGAACGCTTTAAACAGTGTTCTGACGCTAGAACAGTAAGCGTTGTGAAATATAGAACACATTTTTGTTCTTTTTATGTTCTTTCACTGAGTATTGTGTGAAAACGATCTAGTAGAATAATTTATTGCTGAAAGGATTAATATGTGTACTGTCGTTTTAAAGAAGTGCATTTTATGTACTGAGTAGTATACCAACCATTTTGAGCAAAAGCATACCTGTAATGGATCTATCGGTATTTGGAACTCAAAATACGTGGATCTATAGGTATGTGGATTTAAAGGACGTCGGTTTATGAGGACGTCGTATCTATAGGAACGCAAATATATAGGACAGCAGTAAAAAATCGGATCTATCGGTATTTAAATCTAAAAAGACGTTTTTTCAGTTTTTCCTTTATGTATCTATCGGTAACGGGATTATAGGGACATGTAATATTTTGGGACTAAATTTTATCCGTACGTACCCATCTGACCGACGTTACGTTTGTCGTAAGATATGATACGATATGATATGATATGATATGATTTGTTAGATATTTCAACTGTAACTTATACATATAAATAGCTATAAAACAAAATAAATATATGGAAAATACAAGAAAATAAAAAATTATTTCCATCGTGGTCCATAGTGTTGTAGGTATTGATGGGAGGCTCTTATTTAGTAATAATGTGATCGTACAAATATAACATTTACCAGATTTATTACTCAAGAATATTACAAGAAGTTGTCTGTAAATGGGATATTTAATTATGTATATCATGCTTAAACAAACAATGACAGGATATTAGTTTGATCAATCTATGTAGACCAGTAGTTACAATTGGAATGAGACCTAAATGTTGCTTTTATTTAAGATTGCTGAAATATTAAAGAAAGATGAAAGTGTAAGGACTCCAGAAGAAGATGAGGTTTTACAGCAGTCTCCAGATGTTGTGGCAGATGTGGAGAGAAGAGCAAAACACAGGAACAAGGTCAAAGAGAGGTTGATGGAGGTAAAAAAAACTGTGAATGCAAGTAAAGCATACAATTGTCAGCTTTTTTGGTATAGTTAACTATAAGCGTTGTCTTATATTATAAAGTTTTAATCAACATGTGCAGGAATCATGATATCTGTATTGATCAAAGTAAGAAAAAATATCATATAAATATATGTAAACATTTTTATCTTGATTTTTCCAACAGACCCCTGCTTTTAAATTTTACTTCAAATTAAATTTTTTTAAAACTTATTGTGAAACAAATATTCTTAATTGGATGTTTTGAAGTTTGTCCCCTTAAATGTGAAAGAAATCCATGCACTTCTTTTTTGTTATCTTTGTCTTTGTTAATACTATCATTTCTCAAGATTTTTGCTTGTAGACTTACTGTGACACTTGGGCTTTATAAGGTTATCCATTTCTTACTTAAAAATTGAGATTGATGTGCTTTTTGTGTCTTATCCAGCATTTTATTTTCCAGATTGAAGACTCCACAGAAGAACTAGAATCAAAGTGTGACAAACTAGCAGAGGCCATTAGACAAGCCAAACACCTTGTGATATACACTGGAGCTGGCATAAGCACAGTGAGTTGTTTTAAGAGACAGAATTTGCTGATCTATGTAATGAAACAAAAATATGTTTCTCTTATATATATGACGCATAGGGTCTATAAGTATGACACAGAAACCATATTACAATGACTAAATTGTTATTTTTGTTTCCTTAGGCTGCCTCAATACCAGACTATAGGGGACCAAATGGGGTGTGGACCTTATTACAGCAGGGAAAAGAAATAAAGTATGTTGTCATGCATATTTTAACAAATGTAGAAGATGCACTAATTCTTTTTTCTCTTGAATTTTTCCTGATTGAACAACTTTCGGCTAGTTAGAAAAAGGATACACATTATTTTAGACTACATTAATCCATATGATTTTAATTCACTGTCAAAATATTTTATCTGTAGTATATTTTTTATAACTGTTCATGTTATAGGTACTAATCCCTTTTCTTCATGACATGCACATGATACCTATTAAACACTGTCCCATTTGATTTGAATTGTCTTTAATCATTGGTATGGTCTAAACACATGTTAAATCTGAAAGTAAGCTTGATGGGGATATGATGTCCAAACTTTGTCTCTTTTTTTTTTTCTTTTACTATCTGTCTATATGACAAACATGTAAGCAAGATTGCTTTTAAACAGAATTTTTGGTGGGGTTGTTTGTAAGGCTAAGTTAATGGCCTGATGTTTAGATTGCTTTCTTTACTATTTTCACCTGGTGATTGTGTTTTTAGGCCTCAGGACCTAAGTGATGCAGATCCTACCATTACACACATGAGTATAGCTCAGTTGTATGAGGAAGGTTTTGTGAGTATAACAGACTTATTTTATCTCTTTGCAAATGATTTTTAGTGACATAAACAGGTACATATACTAACCATCAATATAAGTCCATATTTATAATTGTTTTAATGTAGGATTGTGTACAAATATGATCATAACATTTGCTATAGAAAGTTCTTAGTTCTGCAGTGTTTGAGAGTGGCTATAAAATTTTCACTGATTTGTCATATCCATCCTGTGCACAGATGAATTAGTTGATTTTATTTCCTTTGCAGGTAAAATATGTTGTATCTCAAAACTGTGATGGGCTTCACCTAAGGAGTGGCCTTCCTAGAGATGCATTATCAGAAGTACATGGCAACATGTATATAGAGGTATGTCAAGAGAAGGCATTGATATTGTCCTGGCACAAGCAGTTTGAATAACCAGTGACAACTTACCCAGTTTCCTCTGGCATAATATGTTTCAACTGCTGTAAATCTTTTCAATTAGTGTTTTTTTCATTTGTATACTATACAAAAGATAAAGCCCATAAAGATATTATATATTGTCTAGATCTCATGTACATTTGTGATTTTCATGACTTACATGTGGGTATGAGAGCAGTGATGGGTGCTCATGGTTATATTGGTTATTGTATCCCAGGCCTGCAGTTCCTGTGTTGCGAACAGGGAATATATTCGCCTGTTCGATGTAACTGAGAAGACTGCAGTCAGGAAACACAAGACTGGCCGCTTCTGTCATACATGTGGAAATGCGCTGAAGGATACAATAGTACACTTTGGAGAAAAGGGTGGGCTAAATTCCCCATATAACTGGCAGCTGGCTGTGGATCAGGTTGAAGAGTGTGATATGGTGCTGTGCCTGGGAACAAGTCTTAAAGTAAGTTCTTTTTCAGAAATTTTGAAGATAAAGATCATAGTGTTAAATAATTTGCAGACAGTATCGAGCAGATGTGACAGTGCTACTTGCATATGCATTTATTGGTGCCTTGTGAATAATTCCTCTTTAAGATTGTCTTCAATTCAAAATATTTAATAGTTTTTTTCTTTTTCAGCTGTTAAATATGTGATTTTATTGGCTCACAGCAGTGTTTTATGTCATTATTGATCTCTGATAAATATTAGTATGAACACTTATTATGGACTGCATACTTTCATACCCATATACATATTTAGCAGTTTAAATATCTATGTTATGCCATAATCATTGGATCTGCCATTTACTGTGTAATTACTGATAATTATCTTGCAAACTTTTTCTATGATGTTAGGTTTTGAGGAAGTACCCTTGCTTGTGGAACATGCACAAATCTCCAGGGAAAAGGCCCAAGCTTTGTATAGTTAACCTACAGTGGACACCTAAAGACGATATGGCTACAATAAAGATAAATGGTATGCTCCGCTTAACTGTTACAATAGCTATGTTTAATAATACCCACATATATTAAGTTTAGGGGATAAATCGTCATCTTAAAATTGGACAGGGAAGGTTGGTATGTTAAAAATGGGTTGTGGCGCAAACTACCTTTACAATTTCAAATGGATTTGAATGAAACTTGATGCACTATATAGTGGAGGTGCCTCATGTTTTTGCACAGTGTGTAGAGCCAGGCAGTGTCATGAAAATCATATCTTCCTTTGGTCATGGTCTGTTGAAAAAATAGATCAGCTACTGGTCTGCAATTTTCTCTTTGACAAAATGGTCTGCAAATTCTGTAGTCACTTTCCAGAACTGCCCAGTAAGTGATAAAATAGAAACGTTAAGGAACAAGTATTCTATGAACCTATTGTTTTTGGGAAAGCAATGGAAAATGTGTTTTCAAAATGTATGACTTATAGGGTAAGTTTTTTCTTTTACTATTTTGCTAATTGGATTTAATGCTTTTTTTCAGGAAAATGTGACAAGGTCATGCATTTGGTAATGGAGAAGTTAGGAATTTCTATACCAGTTTACCAAAGGTATTACACGTTTGGTATTTCTTAGCTTAACAGGTATCCTTAATACATCGTCTAAGGACGGTACTTATTTAATTTATGATTTCTTTTCCCATAAACTTGAGGTATTTTTTGGTTATATCTATTTTTAGAAAATTAAATGCATGGTCAAGTCTACTGCAAAATACTCCTTAAGTTCTTGCAAATAAGCCATTTTTATTTTACTTCAGAGAAAATGACCCTATTTTCCACATGGCAACTAAATTAAAATTAGAGGAAGTTGAAACCACCAGCAAGAAAATATTACCAGTCCCTGTGGGGCTACGAAGTAAAGATTTCTCATTGAGGAAAATCAGGAGTAGGCTTGAAAGAGGAGAACAAGATAAGATCAGTTCTTCTGAACAGGCCAAAAATTCCTCACAGTTTGTTAAGACAGAGGCTTGGAGAAACCCTACCAGTCCAATAAAATGGGATAAAGAAAACAGCAAAAATGATTGTGTAACCCTAGAGGATAATGGCAGCAACTGTGATGTACTCAGGAATATGCTCAAACAGCCACCCAAGTTTCTTAACTCAGTATTACACAATTGCATACCTGACCTGGACTGTGGGCACACTTCTTTGAATAAACATGTCCTATCAGCTTCAGAAAGACAACTCCACATGTCACCATTTTCCTGGCATCTTGCTCAATCAGCGGTGCATTGTAAAGGTATCCGAAGTACAAATGCTGCAGAAGCAATAATGCAAGATCATCAGTATTCTGCAAAGTCCAGCAAAATGCCCCATCTTGCTGGTATGTTAAAAACAAAGTTTTTTCCTATGCAAACTTTCTATGATAAAGCAAACATATTTCAGGTGAAACGGAGCCATGGATCTGGTGTGACAAAGGACCCGGGTTATGACTTAGGCTTTAACCAAACACAAAATAAGAATTTTCAGGGATTTCACTCAAATTTAATTATCTCTACAGAAACAAAAGATTTCAGTAAGTCACCAGTTGATCTCTTCAGTAGGCCTCTTTCAGCTGCATATAGCAGTGAACCACAGCAGCAGTGCACAAAACGGGGAACAAAAAGTGAAAGTGGATTCTCTTCATCAGCTGCCACATCTGGAAGTTCATCTGCACCGGCAGCAGCACTAGCAGCACCAAACTTTATGCTGGCAACGGCCAATTCATATCTCTTTTCATCAAATCTCTATGCAACTAAGTCAGGGAATGAGACAGTAAAGAGCACAAGTCCAAAGTTTTTACACCCTCAGCATGAAGTCAATCAAGGGAAAGTCTCTCAGCCTTCTTCATCACCTCATGTGTTCAATTCCAATACATCATCTTCATCATCCTCTTTTTATAAAGTGCAATATGGATTCAGTGTTGAAAACCACAATATCCGGGGAGAACCTCAGTTACTACCTCTGGACCTGAGTAAAAGTGCAAGTGTACAAACTGTGTTGCCCAAGCAGGTAAATAATGTGTTTTCTCAGGAAAGTGGCATAGGATCATTCAATCAAAATGCAGATACACAATCTCAGGATGAAGAGGATGCTTCACTTATTACTGACAGTCCAGAAAAAGTTGAAGTTTCTTCTCTAAAGCGCCCCATTTCAGTGACTACACCCGGTTGGTTTGGAAAAGGACTAAATGTTAGAAAGGTGAAAAAAAGAAGGTTGACTTGATACACTGGATGCCAAACTACTTGTGATGCCGTAGTTTTTATGGGAACTGGGTATATTTTCTCTTTTTAGAAAACCTTATCAAGTTTAATTTTTGACCGGGTTAGATGGCTACTGAATTAATCACATTTCTGTGATAATTATGGCCAGTGTGGAAACATTGTTTGAGCTGAAGCTTGCTGTGCACCTGTATATATTTTGAGTCAAGATCAAATTGGATTGCTGTCACGACTAACATGTTTGCTGTTATTATAATAGATGTACAGCTTATAGAAGATCCTTTGTTGACTTTATTCTTATGTTATATTTCTAAATTTCACTCGAGCCTTCTAGGCATTCTTAATTGAGCAATGTGCACAATGGAGTTTCTCAAGTTGAAAAAGATTTACTTCATATGGGACTAACAGAAAATGAATGTTTAGAAAAACCATGGGGGTCTTGTGGTTATAGTATTGTTAATTTTCATGCTAGTTCAATTTCTGGCATGATGCAATTAATTTTACTGAAATGTGAAATAGCTTCGTTATGATAATTCAGTTTTTCATTTGTTCATTTCATTTTTTTCATGGAAGTGGTTATTGAGCATAAACTGATATTTTATAGGTTGTGGAGTTACAAAATTTTTTATCCTGATTTTTTTTTCTCTATGGCTTCTTAATTTGAAATATGAGTTTGTAAAGTGTTTGTTAAAAAAAAAGGGAAGGTATTTAAACATCATGGCAATTCCAATGCAGAAAAATCTCTTCTTGCTTCCAAATGTGTGGGTATTGTAATAATAGTACAAAATGACTCTTGTCATGTTGATCAGATAATCATTTCCTTCTTTGGTTTGCTCCTTTATAATTCTGTGTGAAGTAGAGCGGTTGTTTCTTTTTTAGTCTGTACTTTTGTTCTACACAGATGCACAAGTTTTTGGTAATGTATATGCATATTGTTACAAAGGTCTGACAATAAAATTTCTAATGGGAAAAATTTTGCTTTTTTGTATTTTAAAAGAATACTTTCATCATTTCTATCACTGTTTTTATTCAGGCAACAAGACTTGCATCAGAGATTTAAGTACAAATCTGTTTATTGATAATGACTACACAAAATGCCTTTGCTTAATGAAAATCTGTAATTAGGGGCTCGTAACTCCATAACAAAAACTTTTAAACCAAAATGACAGCATGGGATTATATCCTTTATACTTGTGGTCAACTATGCCTATTTTCGTGATAAAATCTTGTTCAGGGTTGAAGTTACACCCCATACAGATTGCTATCAAGCTTGTTAAAACTGGCACAGTATTTCATTCAAATTAACTAAGGGAGTGGGGTTTACAACCTGAGATCTGGGGATGTTTAAGGTTGAATACTACCAGGAAAAAGGCTAGATTAAAAAGTGTTTGAATGCATTTTGGCTTATAGTTTAAACAAATTTTCAGGACATACTTCTTTGTAAAATGAGCCCTTGGACTCTTGTGTTTTCAAAATAACACCACTCAGTGCAAATCTTTTCAATAACAACAAGTGCCAAAAAGAAAAACTCATGCTGACCAAAACTGATAAAAATCACAACCTCAGTGCATTTTAACCAAGATAGAAAAAAAAGAAAACTGACACAAACTTCAGTATCATTCCTACGTCTCTAGTTTAAAATAAGTTGCTTTCAAAAAAGTTACAGACTATTCATTGCATACAAAGATGACCAGAAGTCTTTCACCTGAATCACAGATGGAATGTGGACAGCAATCTCAAAAATTCTTATAAAAACTTTGTAACGATACAAAAAAACACAGCTGACATGAAGACTGTTCATCTGTAAATACTACAGGTTTCAAACATGTAAAACTTTCAGCAATAAAAATATTAAGTTTAAAAAAGGCAAGTGTTAATGCTCTTATAAATTTATATAAAGATCACAATTCTTCATTGTGAGCCACTGGATTCACCAATTTCACTTTTTCCACCTTTAAAAGTTCTTGAATCTGATCCACCATTTTTTCCACATCCAGTTCCTGTTCCTGAAACAAAGCATTTAACAATTATATCACAATGCAGTTGAAAGAGTTAATGTGGTGAGACAGAAGTGATACTGTGTAACTATTAGTTTAATATATACTGTTCACTGTGAGAATTGTTCAAGGTGCAAAAAATTATAGGAGCAAATTTAGATTTGTAAGATAAAAAGATAAATACCTCAAATATTTACATTAACACAGTCACATTTTGATTACCTTCTCCTCGGCTGGTTTTGTTGGACATGCTTTAGAAATTTGCTCACAAATTCTTATAAAAAGTTCCTTCAATGTCAATTTTGTTTTTCTTTGCTCACTGTAGCTTTCACGAAAGAGAACTTCTATATGCCCCCCATGTTGGTCTTAAAGAGAAAAAAAAACAAAACAAAAGCAATATGATGTGTGTGCATACTAAGTAACAATAAAATAAAAGATATATGACAAGAATTTTCGAATAATATAATTATCCAAGCTTCCTCCTAAACTAGGCTTAGACATACTTTTAAACCAAGACTAACTAAACAGAACAATCCACTGCTCTCATCCCAAACATCTAAAAAAGGGGATAAGTGCATTTAAAGTTGAAGCCTACATAATGATATAAATATAAACAACTGTTCTCTCTTGTCCTTTGCTCACCAAGTAGATGTTTACATCCTTTCACCAGGTCTTGAAGTTTGGAATCATCTTTTGCATCCTCAAAATATGGCTTAAAAGTTTTCTCTTTACAAACTGAAGCAACTGTTTCGTGTACACTTTCTGCTATATTTTTCTTAGAAGGCTTCATCAATATTCTTTCTATTTCTGAAAATGACAAAATATTAAAAGGGTTAACAACTCTTCATATGAGATTCAAACTTCCACAATATATACATATTGCAAACAACACACAGAAAAATAATAAAATCCATTTTACCACCAAATTGGCAGTCATCACAATTATTCTGAAATCTGTGCTTGCCATCAGACAACATATGGGCCTTCAAAGATGGCTACCCTGCATAATAATCTCTGAAAAATAATCGACTAACTTTGAATGTGAAAAGAAATTTCTTAACCACTGGAAAATATGGGAAAATTATTGTTTACCTCGGGAAAATCCATTTTATGGCACTTTTCCTCCCAAAATGAAAAGTTATTATCCCTTCAAGTTAAGAAAAACATTTTCAATTAAGGGAGTTAAAGCTGGTAGCCAAAATTAGGCAAAAAAAGACTCTATAAAACAGGTATGTTGTTATCATAGGTTTTGCGGTGAAAGTACTCTTTTTGGTTTCTTGATGTGGATATATAAGAAAATGAAAGATTTCATGTGATGTGAAATAATGATGAGTATATATATAGTTCTGTGTGTGTGTGTGTGTGTGTGTGTGTGTAGGCATATATATATATATATATATATATATATATATATATATATATATATATATATATATAACCCTAATGTGGTGGGCATAGATTCTCTGTAACACATAATCACTACTATCAGTTTCTTTTATGACTCAAGCAAAGTCCATGTGCAGTGCCAAAGGATCAATCAAATATGATATTACAAAAATAGCTTGAAAACTGCACCTTTTCAAATTTCTGGATGTAAATTCAACTAATTTTTTCTGTCCCTCCAATTTATAAAAGTACATCAAATGATGCAGTAATCTATGACACAATACATGTATGTCTGCGCATGCAAAAGCTATGTATATAACCATTCAAACGAGAGTTGGTGAGAATGACTGACAGCCACACATGTATTAGCACAGACAGAAAGGGTTACATCCCTATACGTCCCCGCATGGATACTCCCCTGCATCGGTACATCCCTGCACCAATACTCCCCTACACCGATACTCCCCCTCAGTATCGATGCAGGAAAGCAATGATGTGGGGGGAGTAAAGATTCGCCTACATCAGTAATTTTACTGGGGATGTATCGATGTGGGGATCTATCAGTATGGGATCGTATCGATGCGCATGGGGGAGTTTCGACATAACCCCACAGAAAGAAGGCAGAAAATACCTTCTCAAATATAATTTTTCGGGAAAGAGGGAAATATAAAAAATTCTCTCTGGTATTTCTTTTAACTTATATGCTGTTTGAAACAATATGGTGTCATTTGATTGGGTTTGGTGGCAATGATTTGACAGGTGAACTCACTTCAAAAGCATCTTTAAATATGGCACCATAAATCTTTGTTAAAATAAATGCAACCAAAAAATTGAACTGATCTTGAACAATATAGTCAGGGGCGGATCCAGAGCTATTTACTGACAGTCTTCCAAATTATCTTTGTTGATTCATCCTCCAATTTTGATCGTCTTCCAACAGAAAAAAATTAGATACCCGTCAATGTAAACTTGAAAATCTGACCGTCTTCCAGAAGACCCAGAAGACGGCCTAAATCCACCCCTGATAGTTACAAACAGCTAATGTAAAATACAGTTAATAAAATGTTCTATTTTACTTCAGAAAATAACATATGCTTTCAGTCAATACAGATAAAGATACTGGGACATGGCAGAATATATAGAGAACAATATATCTCACCTGTGATAGTGGATTCACATGCAGCACAGTACACATCTGAAGATAAATATAAGAACAAGTAAATAATAATAATAATAATAATAAATATTTTTGAAAATTCATAAAACAACACATCTTAAAGTACTGCAAAGAAAATAAATAAATAAATAGAAGCATTCAATTTACGATCAGCTAGCTGGTATCTGAAATGCACAGCAGTCTGCTGTAGGCACTGGTCCTATGCCCGGAGTATACCGTACCACGGTCTTTACGGTTATACCCCATGCAGAATTACTTGTATTTACTATTTAGCAGGATGGTAGAATAGAAGCTAATGCAGACAACAAACAAAATTTCACGTTTCATTTTATTTACTTACCTTGGGCCGATGTTCTGGCAAATACATGGTTAGCTAATCCTATCAAAAATATGAATAAAGTCAGGAAGTTTTCCATTCCCATTTTGCCTGATCGGTGGCTGTGCGATGCCGAATCTTCCAAGTTCTTCTTTGTTTTCTACAAACCCAGAATATACTTCCGGAAAAAACAAACTTTCCCCACCTTTAATCATGATTATGCGTTTTCACACCATCTAAACCTCAGCTAGAATAAGACGACTCCCGTTTACGCCATAACATTTTTGCATAATCATCAAAACTAGCAAATTATTCTTTAGTCGCTTCTGCAGATTATAAATGAACCATATGATGCTGCCTCGCTTTAGGAGAAACCGGCAATCTAGGTCAGAAACGGCAAATCAGGACACATGCAATTCAGGACAGTTGTTAATAGATGGCGCAGCACTAGAATATAGAGGACATTGTGCTTTTCGGGTGCAAAGATAAAAGATCTCCTTCGTCGGAGTCAACAATTGCATTATTATGGATTAAATCTGTTTACATTTTTTCTTTTTTACCTACACAGTTTGGAAATATTTTGCTGCTTGTTTATATCGGCTTATATAAATATTATAAAGATATATATTAAAGCGATTTTGGAAAAAAAAAGAAATGTTATCTTGAATTTTTGCAAGGGTTTAAATCTATAAATATGTGTTTTCAGACTCTTTTTAAATAAAAAAAAAATCAAATGCCTTCTTTTTCCACATCTCTCTCTCTCTCTCTCTCTCTCTCTCTCTCTC